GAGACCCGCTCCTGTGTAATTATAAATAACGAATTCTAAGGCAACGCAAACATTAAGGTTAAGAGGCTGAGCTCATAGATGATGATAAATAACATAGTTATGTATAATATATTACATTTCCGACTGTATATCCCTGTAATTATTACACACTGTAGCTTTAAAACAAAAGGATCTACCACTTTATAACGAACATCATGAATTTTTCATCATCAGCACTGAATTAACTATAAAATAGTGTCATTAAAAAAACATCACGCCTTCTGAAACTCAAGATTGAACGAGGAAGCATTTTTACTTTGATTATCAGTGTAAATGTTTGAAGATTTAATAAAGCCTTGTATAACTGAAGGAGAAATTACAGATAAGCTTAAAATAAAAATGGGTGACATTTGTTTATTTCTGTGTGCCTGCTTTGTCCCGTTTCAGCCCCATGAACCATTGAATTTCAGGATTTAGTAAACTTGAAATGCATTCTTTCCCCTTAAGTGTAACAAAATTAGAAAAATACTCTGCATGCTGCCCAAACCTCTCTGATCCTTTTGATCTGGATGAAGTTCTCTCTTCCCCAGCTCAGCTCGTCCTGCAGGGGCATTAAAACAAAGAAAACTCACATTTAATTTTTAGGTTGCGGTATTAGCAAAAATTCTTATTGGGCAAAAAAATAAAAAAATAATGTCAAGCAAATGTTTTGGGATAAATGTTTACCTTAGGATGCCTCAGTTGTCCATTCTTTTTAGCAGAGTACCAGGCCTAAGTGCATTAAAATTATTTTTAAACACTATTGCATATTAAAATCTTGAAGATCACATGAAAGACAAGATTTATAATCACCCTGAAGGCATTAAGGATGGCTATAGAGTCACTTGGTGTACCATGTGCAAATGCCAGCTTACTCCTGAAATCAAAGAACAATAACATATGTAAAGATTAAAGTGACAGAACTGCAGCATGTGAAATTAATTGGACTTGATTTTCAGATAGTCTAAAATTGTCAGTCTATGGTGCTCTCCATGTAAAAATATCTACTAGACTGCATATACATGACATTCAGATACTGTTAAATAACATGAGGAGTTGGGCACAGTGAACATAGATATTAGAAATATAGAAACTTCTCTCAAATGTTTAAAATTTGCCGATCCGGTCTTCACAGGGCCGCTATCTTGAATTTCCCTTCTAGTCTCGTGTAATCTCGCTAAGCTCACATCTCGCGAGAATCCAATCCTATTGGTTATATGTCGGCGTGAAGCAGCACGAGGGGCGCCGTTATCGGAATATGGAATATCAAGTATCCCTTCGGACAATTTCATTGACGGGAACAAGGAAGTTGCGCTGTTTGCAAACAAGTAAGCTTGAAATTTTGAAAAGTTTATGAAAACTCATTGGATGACTGATAATTACAGGATTATTTTGGAGGGTTTTTTTTGTTCTTTGGGACAATACTGTCCATTAGTAATGGGTCATGATCAGTGATGGGTCGATACTGTGTCACTGAATGCTGATACCTGCTGGACACTTACAATTCCTATAGGCAGCCTTTTTGACACAGATTTGATGACCTATAATATGATTTAAGCTATTGTATGCTATAATGTATTACTTTATAACTATAGTTTGAATTGAAAATATGTTTGATATTTTTAGATTCAATCCATAAATGTGATCATACAACGGCAACATTTAAGTAAACAAGTGAATAAGGATGTTTCTGGACTAGGATTTATCAATTTAATTGTTTTTCAGCATAACTCATGAGGAGTTTGTGAATTTGGGGAAAATTAAAAGAGTAAAAAATGGGAGAACTACAGAGAGAGCAATCTTCAGCTTCTTTAAGAGCAATCAGGTAAGAAATGTGACTTTTGTGTTAAATATTAACAACATTGGATTAGTAATCACTGGTTTCAACCTGAAATTAATGGGAATCTCCCAAAGTAAGGTATACATTTAGAACTCTTACTGTCTTTGTTGCTTTTTTTTTCCAAAATGTACTAGATACTATTCTTTTGTGTGTTTGAAAGAGTTTAATGCCAACTCTGACATTTATCAATTCCAAAACCAGCAGGGATTATAATCCAAATTGGCCACCCCATGCCTATTGTTTCCTATCAGGAAGGACAATTGACTTTTAACCCTACGAAGCCACCGCACAAAGCCTGAAGTTTTGGTACACCAAGGTGTACACCCTATAAGATATTCCTAGTTAAAAGCCTGTAGAGACACATGAGCTTTAGTATTTATGCTGTGCCAGAGTTTAATTTCGGTTGCGGAATGTGCCATTAGTAACCGCTGGATGTGGCTCACCTGTGACCGGCAAGCTGCTGCATGGCTGGGATGGCAAAGAAGGTTCTCAGAGAGTGTGACGCAGCTGAAAATAAAGACCAACCAATGTGTAAAGAAAAAGCTTAATAAAACAAGCAATAAATACACATTCGTAATGGAGATGTAGCGACTACAGAACATATTTCCCATTCAGCTACCAGGTCTTCTTCAGAAATAGGAGAGGCTGCTTAAGAGTCCAAGATGCTGATTTAACCAGCCAATGGTGGGTAAACTGATGCAACTCCAGTTAATCTACAGTACAGTCCAATCGTTTTATTTATTTAAATACTAATTTATTGCCCATTTATTTCACCAATTCCTGTCGTTTGGCACTTTAATCATTGCCTGCTGCTTTTAAAATGCTTTACAAAAAAAAGTTGCTTTGCCTGTGGAAAATAGCCGTATACAAAGTTATAAAGGGGAGGGAAAAAAAATGACACCAAAAATATGCTGCTTTTTGAAATGAAAAAGATCAAAAAGAAGCTACTTTAATACATAACTTTATGTAAAAAACATGACTATAGTAGTTTAATACAACTTTTTAAGAGATAGACTAGATGGACAGACTTTAAGGGGCATCTTTAAAATATTGTCACTCGGTCCATTAAGTTCTTTCAGAGGGGGAAAAAATAAATGCATTAAGAAAAACCATAAGAGAGAGCATCTCCCTGAAGCCACGCAGCACTCAGCACTGTCTTTGAGCTGAAAATAAAAAGGTTAAAGCTGTGCATTCAATAACAACGACCCACTCTTCTTTAAGATGGCGTCATTACATCATCCAGATGATTAAAAAAAAAGGTTCAAACTATTTTTTTTTTTTTTTTAGAAAGCTACACTTGCGTCTAAAAGTATTCATAACCCTTAGCTTAGCCTAGACTTACTTCAGCATAGAGTACAATGCAAAAAACTGAAATCTAAATAAGTGTTTTTTTTCCTAAAATAAGTGGACTTTTTCATATATTGAGGAGGTAAGAGAGACGCTTTGAAAATGGAACAAGACATTTACACTTAAAATAAGAAAAAAAAAACAATTGCATTGTCTTATTTCAAGTACATGTTATCTGATTATCTTATTTTAAGAGAATACATACTCATTCCATTGGCATATCATCTTATGTACCTACATAAATGAAGAGTAAATACTCCTAAATTAATACAAGTTTAAGTATTTCTAGATCCTTTTTGCAGTGTAAGCAGACGGATGGAAATTACCCAGTAGATAGATCTTTTGAGGCGGTGGATTTTAGATGCCCCCTTAACAGCAGAGGAGTAGAGTGTGATGACTCGCTACAAAGGAATCTGTTAGAATGGGTTGTATTTCTACCCAAACACAGGGCATTATGCCTCTAGCAGCATGACTGTACTAATAGCCACCATTCAAATATCTCACATTAAAATGTAAAAACAAAATAATAACATAAAATTAAAATAAAACACGCAGGTCCAGATTTTTTAAACTATCAAAGTTGATTTTTGGGTGAGCATAATATAATGTTTTACCCAGGGAAATTTCAAAATGATATCTGGTTAAGCACTCTGCAGAGGGAGCTAAACAATAGTGATGGGAGGGTCTTCTAATTTTTAAAAGCTATACCACAAAAAAGTAATTAAAATACAAGTTGAAACAAGCAAAAAGCTTGACAGCTGCAATTTCAAAGAATACTTTCAATTCTTTATTTGTTATTTACCTAATCATCAAGATAGTATTTTCTTTTAATTGTAAATAAAACAACTTTATTAGATTTTAAGACACACTATTACTTCCAACAATAATTTCTTTGTGAAATAAATTATATTCTTATTCAATGTCCTTTTAAGATAATTTTCACCTTTAGTTTAATACAAAATTTTAAGTTTCATTTAGGGCTGGACGATATAGAAAAAAAGCTTATCGATAAAACAAAAATGCATATTGATCGATATCGATAATTATTGAAA